AGGAGAAGTGTGTGTTAAGTGTCCCTGCCATGCCCCAGGTGTGGCGGCCAGCACCTTCGTGCCAGACATGGGTGGCAGGCCATGAGAGTTGGGGCTTTCTGCTGCAGTTGAATGCCAGGCCATCTTCCAAGCAGGCTGCACCGTGTGCTTGCTGCTCACGATACATAACACCACCCCACATGCACATAAACATACATGCTCAAACACACATGCACATACACCCCCACGTGCACATAAACACACACGTGTACACACGCATACACACATGTGCGCACACACACACGGCATCTCTGCCCTTAGCACTGTCCCCTTTCTAAGTTAGCGGTCGTGAGCATGTGCAGTGGCACCTCATTGTGGCTGTAATTTGCATTTCTCTGATAAGTAAAAAGTTAGAGAACCTTCTACCAAATGCATGTGGCCGTCTCGTGGCGTGTCTTCTAGGCTCATACCCACATTGTTTCCGGCTCCGAGCTGCTACACGAGTACTTTCTTACTGGCAGGAATTCTCCCAGAGGCAAGCCTGGGCCTGTTTAATAGTGGCGTGGAGGCAGGGTGGTGTCCCCAGCACAGACGTCCTGCCCCTCTGCCTGGACCTGTGCAAGAACGCCTTCCAGGCAGGGAGCCTTTGTAGCTGCGGCTACGGCCCAGACCTGGGAAGGGAGCTTAGCCTGGGCGATGCGGGTGGGACCAAGCCAACCATGTAGCCACAGTCAGGGGGAGGTGTGACCACAGGGGTCAGAGCTAGGAGATGCAGGTTTCCAGCTGGAGGAAGGCCAGATGGGGCAGTCAGAGGTGTCCAGAAGCCGGAAAAAGCAAGGAGACATCCTCTCCCACGAGCCTCCAAAGGGACTGATGCAGTGCCCACCAGTGCCTGCCCTCCACCCGCGTCGGACGTCAGAGCCCTCCGCCACCCCTAACCCATAGGATGTGAGAAACAGACTGCAGCTGTTGGCCACTGAAGTCACAGGGCGTGTGGCAGCAGGAAACTCACGCGTGCACCCTCTGTGCCTTCCTCCGGTGCCTGAGTGCCTCTGAGTGTGCCATGCTGCCCACTCGTTGCCTTTATGCCCAGGGTCACTAAGTCCTGCTTCAGGACTTCTGCCCCAGCCGAGCTTCGAGGACTGGCTTTTCTGATCGCGGGAGCTGCCGTAGGGCTCACTGGGCTTGCAGCCCCGGACCGCCGGCTGTGTGCCAGGTGGCCCTGCTCTGTGGCCCCCATGAACAGCCTCCAGCCCTTGGCCTCCCACCCTCTAGGATCCAGCTTGGAGTCTTGAGGGACAGCTGGCCCAGAGCCCTGGCTCTGCCACTCTGGGAAGCTGCAAGTCCCTGCCGAACTTCTCCCTTTTATGAGATTTTCCAGGACCAAAGTGACCTTTTAACGCTGTTTGCAGTGCCCTGAAGGGACACAGAAACTCGGGGATGAGGATGGGTCATCGCACATTGACAGATGGACACGGCTTGAGGCTGGAGGAAAAGCCACCCACCCTCACTGGACATCAGTAGCTCCACTGGCTTCCTGGGTTTCCAGCTCTGCCCAGCTGACCAAATCTATCAGGAACTCCTGTTTACCTCAGCAAGGTCAAGTGCTCAAAACCACTGCAGCTCAAGACACACTCATTAAAGCTGGGAGAACAGGGCCAGCAGGTGGCGTGAGAGTTAAGGTGCTGGACTCCTACCTAGTCGACCGTGGTTCAAGTCCCAGGCCCAGTGGCTGGAAAATCATGCCAGGTGCATATGTGCACATGCCCAAGATCCCGAGAAGAGAAGGGATTGTGGCGTGGCCAAGTCGCATCTCCCCAGGGGTGATTCCTCACCTTCTTCATCTCTGGCGAGCACACCTATGCTAAAGACCTAACCAACAAAACCGGAAGAACATCAGAAAGCAAGCATTTTTGGAACGCTTTCCCTCCTGGTGAGGGTGAGGAAATGGTTGCGCGGAGGGGACAGGCGGCATCGTGTTACAGGACGAGGGCAGGGGAGCAGCAGGGCCTGAGTGGACGCTCCTCGGCTGCGGGCACGGAGGAAGCTCTGTGACAGTACCGCACTGTGGCCGTGGTGTCCGCAGGCCAGGTGCGTGCGGTAGCCCCGGGCCGGGCCGGCCTCCCGAGCTAGGCGTGCCGCACCTTCATCTCCGCCACCTTGTAGCTGTAGCGGTAGCCCTTCCCTGTCCTCCAGTTGATGCCGTTGGCGTAGCTCTCGTGGGCCCCCCCACCCCCGCCGAGGTACAGGCCGTTCAGGTTGGACCAATGGCAGTCGGCGTACCACCAGGCTGCCTGGTACTACACCGCACAGCTAGACGCACTCCCATCGTTGTCCTGGTCTCTGGTGGAGAAGAGCTGGTTGTTGTGGCTCGTCAGAGAATCCCCTGTCGGAGAAATCGCAGTCCGCGCATTTCCAGGAAGGCCCGCCATCTTGAGGCCCTCACCTGGTCCGGCCTCCCCCCAGACTATGTCACCCTCGCCGTGTCCCTGTGTCGCCACTGCCCAGGCCTTGGAGGGAAGGAAGCAGGGGTGCGTGCCCACCTCCCTGCCCAGAAACACTCCCCACAGCCCACTCCTTTGCCTCCAGCATCACCCGTTTCCTCCAGGGCTCCCAAGGCTGCAAGGACCCGGCCTCTCCCTCAGACCTACACCTTCCTTTTGGGCTGCTCCCCCTTTCCTGAAGGCCCTGGCAGCCCCTCAATGGGTGGAGGATGGTCCTGGTGCAGAGCCTGCCCTGCCCCACACTGAGCCTGGGCACCCCGGCTCCTGCTGGAGTGGTTTCACCCCGAGCCTGGGCTTTTTCACTCGCTTCTCCTTGGGAGCCTCAGAGAGATGGTGGTCGGGAAGCAGGGGAGCCGGCACCAGGGCTCTTCAGCAAACGCCCAGGGAGTGGCCTGCCCCAGAGTGCAGACCGCAGGCTACCGCGGTTCCTGAGCCTCGATGACCGCTGTGCGTCAAGATTCCCCCAGAGCATCTCTGCAGGAAACGCCTCCCCAAACCATGTGGCCAGAGTTTCTTCAGTAAGAAATACCCCATAGCCCTCATCGCCACGGGCAGTTCAAGGAAAAGGGCTCTGAGGCCCCATGAGGAACGATTGTCCTAGTGCCCCCGTGACACTGGTCAGTCATCCGGGCCTCCCGACGGATGGCGCACAGCTCAAGGAGGGTGAGCTGGCTGTCCCAGAATTCCTGTAGAGACTGGGCTTAGCGTCTGCACTTACAGATGGAGAAGCAGGACTGGAAGGGGCCCAGATCGGGGTCCCCAGGGGAGGAGGGCCAGGTCCCACACGCTGCTCGCAGCCCAGGCCCCGGGGCCCAGGCCAACACTCATCCGCACTGCCCCCCACGAAGTCGCCCAGGACCAGCCTGTACTTCTCCGCCTCGCCCGCCACCCGGAAGGAGCTGTACTTGGCAAAGGAGCGTTGGCCCTCGAAATCCACAAGGTCTACCCAGAGCTCGCTGGTCCCTATGGGAGGAAAGCTTTCTGGTACCAGGCTCTCAGATCCTGCGGCCAGGCGTGAGCAGCAAGGCTTCTGAGAGCCACAGGGGTGTCCCGAGTCGGCATCCGGGAGCAGCGTAGCCAGGCATGCACCACACCCCGGCTGCGCGCGGAGCTCAGGGTGGCCCATTGCCAAGCGTTCTTCCCGCTGCCCGACACGGGCCTGAGAACCCAGCCATAGTGTTCGCTGATGGGAGGAGGCTTCGCCTTACCCTGAGAGTACAAACGCCCCGCAGCAGTCGGCAGCCACTGACGCGCCAGCCTGAGACGCGCCAGCCTGAGACGCTGTATTTGCACTTCCTGCTGCAAGAATTCGAGGCACAGAGGCTTCTTTCAAGGTTGTCAGGGGTTGTGGTAGAGTGACGGGGCCATGCAGACAACACAAACTGGTAAAGAGGCTGTCTCCCATGGCCTGGCTGGGAAGAAACGGCAAGACCAGGCCAGCGGTTTACTAACTCTCCTTGTGTCATTTTACTGGCCTATAGTTCATTTCTCTGCCGTGAGTTTTACTGTTATTACGGTAT